ATCTAATTAAAATAGTTAATCAAGTGAAACGAATTATTTTATAAATTACGCAACTCATATGAATTGTAGCACAATTCACACATTATAGCACGCATATGGGAGTAATGAAATTAATTTTAATTATAGTTACTTCATGTTATGTGCAGTGACACAAATCGCTTAAATAACACATATATGTGGAATATATGTAATTACTTTAAGTGTAGGAATTTGTATATAGGTCAATACCTAATTGATTTATTCATAAAGAAAAGTTTCTATTATGTGAGTATGTATGAAGTAATTCTTGTGATTTTGCGAGACCTTTAACATTTTGAAGTACGTGATTTTGATTTATGCATTTATAGCTATAATTTTATAGTATTATAATACATATACATATATATATATATTAAAAAGTAAGTTATGTATTAGTTATAGTGCAGGAATGAGAAACAGAGGGAGAAATGATAATAAATAACAATGCAATGAATATTTCAAAATAAAAAGAAATCGGCAAAGAGCATATACAGCTAATAAAACACCAGAACAACAAAGTGCAAATGTTAGGCAAGTTACAGTCGAGCTTGAAATATTGATACAATATATTGAGTACATAGAATGTACCGGCCTACGATGCGATAGGAGAGATAGTTAAGCACACATCTGTGTTATTTGTTGCTATCAGGTAATTAAAAGATAAAAATATAAAATTTTTATAACAAATATCCTTGTGGGTTTCTTGCATATACATATATTTATAAGATATACAGATATACTATAGATATATTTCAAAACCTTATTTTAGTACAAGCTTTCTATACTCTATAGAATACGATTCGGACTCGAAGAGTTGTAAAATTTATTTGTACTTGTACTTGACAAGTTTCGATAACACGAATTTTCAGAATGCATACTTGATCCGATAATTTTATAGTTGCATGTTGATTATTATGTTAGGTGGATTTCGGTAAGCGACTCATATAGTTTATAAGTGTGAGACAAATTCTACTCTAACATTCTTTTATAGCAATTTTCAAGATAATTGATAGTAAGACAACCATGTCTGTAATAAAAAGATGGTGCATATAAAAATGCTCAGAGCAGTATAGGGACTCTGGTAAAATTAGTGACCATGATGATGTTTGGCAGATATATTTGATGGATTTAAAACGATTGTTATTTCTATGTGAAATATAATTTGGAGGACAAGGTAATGCTAATTGGTCGATCAATAGAACAAATACCTACTCATCCTTCCTCACCCACAATAATCCACTAAGTATACTTACACCTCTCGTTGCCTGTATATTAAAAGTCAGTTGGGAAACAAAAAAACCATTTAAGTCTGTGATCAATATGGATTAACAATGTGACAAAGAATGAATGTAAGTTTGTCAACATATAATAGTTAGCTTCGAGAGACATGAACAGATAAAAAATACTTTTTGTGAAGATTACTATCAATTTCGGACTATTATAACTAGTAATGTTGCTGATGTTGTTGGCATTAAGTTGCAAATATATTTGTAGTCACCGTTTTAATCAACTAATCAACATTATGGAATTTTATAAATGTATAAATTTATATGTTGGAGTAACTCAAAAACTGACTGACAATTATTCGATTTAATGTGAGTTGAAATTCCAATGCATTCATCACGACGTGTTCAATATTCCACCATAAATATTTGTATATTTTTCACTTAGTGGATTATAATAAATAAAAAAAAAATTTTTTATGTGTTTAAATGTTTTTTCATTTATTCTTCGAGATAGAATGATAAAAGTATAAGTAATATTATTAAGAAATGACTTCTACTCATACTAGTGCAATAAACATAATTGAAAATTTCATTATAGTTGATTGCATTCCCTTTTATCCGACCATGCATTTTATTTACCCAAACTTTAACATTTTAATTTTCATTAATGATAATGCATTTATGCATATAAATATGCAAGAAAAATAAATATGCATGCAATTGAATTTATTGATTAAATTTAAATTATGAAATTATTATAGGAATACTTTCTAAACAGAAAATTATCTGCTTAAATATTTCACATAATTGGAATTGTTTTATAACGTAGAATATTTATAGTTAATGACTTACCTTTTTTTTTAAATTACGTATGCAATTAATAAAGAAAAAGCGAAGGATAACGATATAATTAATATAAAAGCAAACAACAGAATGCTTTTATCGCATTAAAAAAAATTATAAAAGCTTATGTAGTAATGTTCAGAAAATTAATTATTATCGTTATCCTTCGCTTTTTCTTTATTAATTCATACGTAATTTAAAAAAAAAGGAAGTCTTAACTATAAATATTCTTACGTTATAAAACAATTCCAATTATGTGAAATATTTAAGCAGATAATTTTCTGTTTAGAAAGTATTCCTATAATAATTTCATAATTTAAATTTAATCAATAAATTCAATTGCATGCATATTTATTTTTCTTGCATATTTATATGCATAAATGCGTTATCATTAATGAAAATTAGAACGTTAAAGTTTGGGTAAATAAAATGCATGGTCGGATAAAAGGGAATGCAATCAACTATAATGAAATTTTCAATTATGTTTATTGCACTGGTATGAGTACATGTCATTTCTTAATAATATTACTCATACTTTTATGATGCAATCTTTAAGAATAAATGAAAAAAACATTTAAACACATAAAAAAATTTTTTTTTATTTTTTATAATCCACTAAGTGAAAAAATATACAAATATTTATGGTGGAATATTGAACACGTTGTGATGAATGCATTGGAATTTCGACTCACATTATATCAAATAATTGTCAGTCAGTTTCTGAGTTACTCCAACATATAAATTTTGCAAAAAATATGCGAAAAAGAATAACACATTTATAAAATTCCGTAATGTTGAATAGTTGATTAAAACGGTGACTACAAATACATTTGCATTTTATTGCCAACAACATCAGCAACATCACTAGTTATAATAGTCCGAAATTGATCGTAATCTTCACAAAAAGAATTTTTTATCTATTCATGTCTCCCGAAGCTAACTAACTATATATGTTGACAAACTTACATTCATTCTTTGTCACATTGTTAATCCATATTGATCACAGACTTTAATGGTTTTTTGTTTCCCAACTGACTTTTAATACACAGGAAACGAGAGGTGTAGGTATATACTTAGTGGATTATTGTGTGTGAGGAAGGATGAGTAGGTATTTGTTTTATTTATCGACCAATTAGCATTACCTTGTCCTCCAAATTATATTTCACATAGAAATAACAATCGTTTTAAATCCATCAAATATATCTGCCAAACATCATCATGGTCACTAATTTTACCAGACTCTCTATACTGCTCTGAGCATTTTTATATGCACCATCTTTTTATTGCAGACATGGTTGTCTTACTACCACTTATCTTGAAAACTGCTATAAAAGAATGTTAGAGTAAACTATATGAGTCGCTTACCGAAATCCACCTAACATAATAATCAACATGCAACTATAAAATTATCGGATCAAGTATGCATTCTGAAAATTCGTGTTATCGAAACTTGTCAAGTACAAGTTCAAATAAATTTTACAACTCTTCGAGTCCGAATCGTATTCTATAGAGTATAGAAAGCTTGTACTAAAATAAGGTTTTGAAATATATCTATAGTATATCTGTATATCTTATAAATATATGTATATGCAAGAAACCCACAAGGATATTTGTTATAAAAATTTTATATTTTTATCTTTTAATTACCTGATAGCAACAAATAACACAGATGTGTGCTTAACTATCTCTCCTATCGCATCGTAGGCCGGTACATTCTATGTACTCAATATATTGTATCAATATTTCAAGCTCGACTGTAACTTGCCTAACATTTGCACTTTGTTGTTCTGGTGTTTTATTAGCTGTATATGCTCTTTGCCGATTTCTTTTTATTTTGAAATATTCATTGCATTGTTATTTATTATCATTTCTCCCTCTGTTTCTCATTCCTGCACTATAACTAATACATAACTTACTTTTTAATATATATATATATGTATATGTATTATAATACTATAAAATTATAGCTATAAATGCATAAATCAAAATCACGTACTTCAAAATGTTAAAGGTCTCGCAAAATCACAAGAATTACTTCATACATACTAACATAATTGAAACTTTATTTATGAATAAATCAATTAGCTATTGACCTATATACAAATTCCTACACTTAAAGTAATTACATATATTCCACATATATGTGTTATTTAAGCGATTTGTGTCACTGCACATAACATGAAGTAACTATAATTAAAATTAATTTCATTACTCCCATATGCGTGCTATAATGTGTGAATTGTGCTACAATTCATATGAGTTGCGTAATTTATAAAATAATTCGTTTCACTTGATTAACTATTTTAATTAGA